GTAATGAAAAGTATAACTTATTTCTCATATCATCCTAACATCAAATCATAACACTTGATTCATGATATTACTAAGCAAAACTTAAAACAATTTATATAAAATTGTATTCTCAACATATTAAACTAAAACTTGATCACTTTACTCATCACTTAATAGTATGAGAAATTTCATTTCATTTATTCTTGAAACTTTACCATGAAATACATAATATATGCCATCTAATCATAGCAACACATTCAATTCTCAACTTAATATCATGAAATTCACTTTGCATGCTAACTTAAAAATCTTTATTATAACATGTCAAATAACTTAATCCTTGTTCATAAATACTCCTCATCTACACAAGACTTACTCATTATTACTATAAGAATTTACATTTTAACATGTAATGAAGGTGATAACATGTAAATTCTATTCATTCTCAACTTAAAACAACTTAATTATTATTCTCATTATTACACATAACTTAAACTCATTGAATTCATAAACTCCATTATAATTTCAACTTCATATTTATCAACATATATGCTAATAACTACTTAACTCATATAAAACATGAAGTTAAGCTAAATAATTACCTCCTTCTTGAAAACTTGCACTTGAAAACATGCTAGAACTTGAACTTGAAAACTTTGATTCTTCACTTCAAAATTACCTCACTTTACTATCATTTCTACCACTCAAACTCTCAAATAAACTTATATAACTTTGTAATATTTCTTTGGTGTGAAAAATCAGATTTGGAAGCCCTCTATTTATAGGCAAATTTTAGAATAAAATACTTTGGAGTGAAGAAATTAATAAATTAAACAATTTAAACTTGTAAAAATTAATCACTTTAAATATATTCTTACCTAACATTATAACATTAGCTTTTCTTAATTAAATGCTCAAAATTAACTTTAGTTGCCACCAAAAACAAGTTAATGACAATCTGATTACTTCTGTCGGTCACACGACTCGTGTGACTAGTCACACGACTCATGTGAGCTCACACGACTCGTGTGACTTGGTCACACGACTCGTGTGACAAATTCGAAGCTTAATTTGAATTATGCTTTGAGTCACACGACTCGTGTGACTTGTCACACGACTCGTGTGACCTCACACGACTCGTGTGGCTATCCACACGACCCGTGTGACTTAAAAACTTCAATTTTTTAACTTTTTAAGACTCAAAATAGCTAAATCTTGGAAATAAACTGATACTTATTACTAATAACTAAATGGGATATTACAGCGGTAACAGCATGAACTCCGATGGCATCAAGACATCGTCGTGATATAAAAGAATGTGTTGCTCCAGTATCAAACAGGGCGAAAACAGGAACATCATTAAGTATAAGCATCCCTGACATGGTACCTGGCTGCTGCTCTACCTCTGCCTGATCAACTGCATAGATTCGGGCCTACTGTCTGCCCCTCTGCTGCTGCTGCTGGGGCGGCCTCTGAGCCTGCTGACAGGGCTGCTGCTGCTGCTGCTGCTGTGGCTGCTGAGGCTGTTGTGCTTTTTTCAGACAGTGGTTAGCAAAGTGTCCTGGCTCGTGACAATAATAACAGATATCCTGGCCAAAGCGACACTCTCCACGGTGAAGTCGTCTGCAAGTGGGGCACGGTTGAACCTGTTGTTGCCTCTGGCGGGTCCTCCTGTCAGTCTGAGCGCCCTTCCCCTTCCTCTTCTTCTCCTTCGACGGTTAGGCATCTGGTGGAGCTGGTGAAGCTGCGGATGCCTGGGCAGGGGCAGATTGTTGGGAACGGTCGCAGGTTGCCTCCCTCCGAATGCTGGCGTCCACCTCCTGGGCAATCGAAACAGCACGAGCATTGGTCTGTATCCCGTGGCCTACAATGTTGTGACGGATTGCTGGGTAAAGCCCGTCGATGAAGCGCTGTGCCCTCTGTGCGTCCGTACGTACCAAGTCCGGAACAAAAGCGGTAAGTCTGGTAAACTCCCTCTCGTACTCATCGACATAACGAGTACCCTGCTTGAGCAACAAGAACAGACGCTCCATCTCTGCTCGGTAGTACGTGGGATAGTACTTCTCGCGAATTAGCTCTTTGAGCCTCTCCCAGGTACAACCTTGTTTCTCGCCGGGATGCATACTCCAGTAGGCATTCCACCAGAGTCGGGCATCGCTGGTTAGCTGAAGCTGTGCGCATATGACGCGATATCGATCTGGACAGTCCATGACCTCGAAAATCAATTCAAGGCCCTGAATCCACTCGTCCACAATACGGGGATCTCCCTGATCGGAGAATTTTTCAAGATGATAGTCGCGAAACTGTGCAACGATTGTGACCTAGGGAATAACCGGGCGATCGGTTTCCCTACGGGGCGGCATCTGATCATTGAGAAAGTTCAACATTATTGAACACATGAAAAAATACTCTAACTGATTACTAAAGTACACAGATCTCTTGACGAGTTGCCAAACATGGCTGGAAAATACTGACATTAATCCTGAGGAAATCTAGAGTTATATCTGAGTACACTGAACTATAAGTTCTGAACCTGATTCGAGCATCTTAACTAAGTCATGATTAATAAATTTCTGAGCATAAACAAAGTAATTTGGTTATAACTTAAAAACATAAATCAGCACTTACCTGTAGTCGGCGAGGCGTGAGCGTGACGGTTCAGGTTTTCAAAATTTTTTGACTCGTTAAAAACTTTCAGAGACGCAAAAACGTGCTCTGATACCAATTGTAACACCTCGCTATTTCATGAAATTCAGAGCGCGCTTTTCGCAAAATTTTTCTAAATAAAAATATTTATTTTGCGAAATACTGTTTCGGAGTGCTACCGTTTTCTCTCCCAGGTATCTGAAAACTGTTATTTTTAATTTAATAACAAATGGTTATAAAACATAGTACCCGACTAGAGTCGTATTAAAAGCTGGTTTGGAAAACTGAACAGTAGCGGAAACCACAATGTAGCCAAAACAATATATACACGTATATACAAATATCCTGAACCGTTCGCCATCTCACTCCTCGGCCCTGACCCTGAGACCTGAAAAAAAAAACATGAATAATGTGGGGGCGTGAGCACTAATCCACTGTGCTCCGCAGAAACTCATACTAAAGTAAACAGTGAAAATAATAACAATATCATGATCCTGGCATA